AAAAGGGAAGTTCGTTATAGAGAAATTTTACTTAGTGGTCATTATAGAGAGGGTCATTATAGAGAGAGTAGACTGTAGATCTGATATAAATTAATTTCATATTATTATTTTTATATGGGGTTAGTTCTATATCACTTAGAATAACAAATGGGATATGGGGCACGCTGCAATAAAACCAGACAAAGTGAACATTGGTATTATCAAGTATTTTTAGGGTTCAAGATTATTATTACTATTACTATTACTATTAATATTTATATTCTTCATGAAAGATTTGAGCTAAAAAGTTCATCTCAATATTTAAACACACTTGCTTTGTTGCCTATTAAGGTTGAATGTTTCCTCTGTAACTCTTGCTCCCTAATAAACTTTAAATTTATATTGTGAAAGTGTAGTTCTTCAATAACAAGTAAATTTGTTTTCCTATCCTTAAACATAAATCACCTGATTTCTGTCACATCCCTAATGCCAAACACATAGCAATGATATAAAACTCCATTTTTTTATTTTACTCATTAAATATCTGATACCCTTTGATAATAAAGATGAAACAATGTCATAAATCAAATGCATACATGTACAATTTGAAGCAAACTATCAAATTCATAAAATTATTTAATTGATAGGTATTTTCATTGGAGTGTGGAATGATTCCCTTGTCTTTTTTTTTCTACTTATGGAAATTCCATTTGTTGGATTTCTTAAGTTATTAAGAATTATGTTTGCAGATTTGATGACAATATACTATCATAAAAAATAATAAAAAATGAAGATTAGGTTATTTAATATAGAATGTAATATTGTCATTTTAATTATACTGCATTATACTGACTTTGACTACTGTTAATGCTTCAATTGATGCTGGGATTACACCAAGATCATAACAATTTCGTAATAAAAAAAACTTATCCAACAAAATCAGTATATAATAATAAATACCGTCATATTTTAAATCCATTGCATAAACACTACATTGATTACCTAGGTGGACAAGAAAAGCACAGGTTAGGTTGTATTCATTAATAAGCATTTATTTATCCAAAGATGCATGATATATTGCTTGCCTTCTATATGAACACCAAAATTACCAATTCTTCTTCAATTAATTATTTAGTGAGAGACAAAAAAACAGAATTTTTTATTTATATATTAATATTTCTCAATGGTTAAATAAAACAAATAAAAAACATATTATAACAAAAGAAAGCTGAAAATCGGAGGTCTCTATTAATATAAATTATATGAAAAATTTTTTTGATTGCTTGCAATAAAATTAATTTTTGCTTCATTAAAAATCCAATTACAAAAATCTGTGAACTTATTTTTCACTAATAGACTTTCAACATCTTAATATTTGTAATAAATTCAGGAATGATCCTTATATAGAACGTAGTGGCAATTTTATGCTAGATAGAACAAAAAAATCCTTTTTTTCTGAAATCGTACCAAAAAAATTCCATTTTTTTGTCCCACGCTGTATATATAGTAATAGTAATAGTTAAATTTTTGGGGTGGTGCTTGGATACAAAATATTAATATATATTTTATTATATATATTAATATACTAATCAGAATCTTATGAATGATTTAGAAAATATTGCTAACGAGTTTCCTGGTATTATTATTAAAAAAGCGTAACTAAAATTGTAACCTAATTTTAATATTTCTTACTCTGTTACGTGCAATTCATGATTATCAAGATGTTGTGAGGTTCGTTGTTACTATGACAGATGTCATTCTT